CCATAAGAACACTGCTCGACGAAGAAAAGATTACTTACCTTATGCAGTAACTGTGGTTCTTTGAGGTGAGTGTCCCTATGGGTGCTCCACTATCCGTCGTCCTACCCTCTGCTTCGGAGTTCTTACCATTGAGCTCTGCGGTAGAGAAGGAACTGAGGACAGTTGGCCTGCGCAGAGCTATCTAGTCCTGATATAGGGCATGAGACTAGGAGAGTACATGTGCTGACCAAATAGATACTGCTACCTATAATCTCCGATCTGAGGCGCAGGGGGCGTGAACACACCCAAAGTTGAGCACCCATAGGGGGACACATCTCAAAGAAACACAGTTTAGTACACGAGGTGAGTAACCTTTTCTTGTGGAAGCAATAACAGCAAAGTCTATCGTATCTGGCGCATTCAAGAGCATGTGCTATGAGTGAAGAGACCTGTGTCATCTCAGAGTTTGGCACCTACTAAGACTAAGGTGCTTATGAAGAAATCGGCACCAGAGGTAACTCCAAGACTAGCAGTGCTAATGGCACTCAGGACATTGGATCTGATTAAACTAAAAACTCTTAAGCTTCTGTCAGTACTGGCTTCATACGCTCCAAAGTCAAGGCCATGTGAAAGGCCACCAGATGCATTGGTTGCAGCTCTGAGGAAGATGGATAGGAAAAGAGCATCCAGTGTTGGCAGGGCTGGATCCCAGATGAGTGATTCATTGGGTCCGTCAGACCTGGATCCATCCACGTCCGTTCCCAGACTGTTTTGTGAATTGGTGGATAGGATTGGTGGTACCTCTATAAAACTACCTTCTGTGACAATTAAAGAATTCTCCCATCCAGTTTTTGACATTTTGGGAGCCCCTTTACAGTCCAGAATTTCTTTACCCATATTAGATGGGCTGTTGTCATGGCCAAATCTGTTTGGTCTACTCCAGCTTCTTGTTAGCCCATTTTTTAAAAAGCTGCTAAATTTTATACCACCTGTCCTATGAGGAGGAGTTCTTATTTTCACTACATGCAGCCCAGCCCTAACTTGTTAGTAGTAGCAGTGGCTATCGACAGATAGCACATTCCATGTTGTTTGTCAAGGAGGGTAAACATTGGATACTTTAGGACAAAAGGTTTTTTCTTCATCTTTTCTGAGTATTGTGTCCTGTTATCAGTTTCACCTACAAGAAAAGATGGCCACCTTTATTCAAGTGCTATCAGAAGATCAGCATAAACTGGTGAATGATATTTTAACTGGTGGACAGAACATAATGAAACATGCTCTTAGAGCAGAGGTCCACAATCTGTGGGGTGTGCTTCCCTAAGAGGGTGCAGAGGAACATTTGGGGGGGGGACACAGCCCAGGCACAGACGTGGGAACTAGAGTTTCGGGGGTGTAGGTTTTACGTGGGGGTCTCAGCTGCTGGCCCCATGCCCGGGGTCCTGGCTGTGGCCCCAGCCTCAAACCCCTTACCCCTGTCTGTGTCCCCCCTCCCAGACACACGGCCCTGCTTCCGGTCCCAACTCGGGGGTGAGTCTGGATGGGGTAAGGGGGTTGGCTTTCAGCACCCCCACTATTAAAGTTGCAGCGCCACTGACCCGGCACCCCAGCTGTAGGCCCCCTTACCCCTGTTCGTATCCCCCACTCCTGGAGCCATGGCCCTGCTCCCACCTCTGGGGGGGGGCCGCACACAGTGGTAAGGGGGGACGCGAGGTAAAAAGTTTGGGGACCACTGACTTTAGAATATCACTTGATGCTTCATACTCCTTGACCAAAGCGACAGCATCTGTTATTAGCTGAAGAAAAGTGAGCTGTAGCTCACGAAAGCTTATGCTCAAATAAATTGGTTAGTCTCTACGGTGCCACAAGTACTCCTTTTCTTATGGCAGGTTAAGATCATCTACTCTTCCCAGTGAAACAGGTTCAGAATAGAGGACTTTCCCTTTAAAGGGGAGAATCTATTTAGCAATCAAACAGATGAACCACTGGAGAAGCTAAAAGAATACATGGTCTACTGCCTAGTTTAAGTTAATTCCTTAATTCTGCTGAGAGAAGAACATCTGCCCCTACATTGAGATACCATAGCTGATCTTCTCTTCCGTCATCATCTTCTTACTATTACACTTTCAGTAGCAACAAAGAGGCAACTATCACAGTTTTTCAGCTTTGTCTGAGTGTCTTTGCTCCAGACACTGGGCAAACCAGTTTGAGGTGTACCATAAATTAGATTTCTGTATTGTTTTTAGCTAGACTTGCCTGTATAATGTAGGGATCGGCAACCTTTGGCATGCGGCCCGTCATGGAAATCCGCTGGCAGGCCAGGACTGTTTGTTTACCTACAGCGTCCGCAGGTTTGGCCGATCGCAGCTCCCACTGGCTGTGGTTTGTCGTTCTAGGCCAATGGGGGCTACGGGAAGCGGTGGCCAGCACATTCCTTGTCCCACGCCGCTTCCTGCAGCCCCCATTTAAAGGTTTAAGACTTCTGAAGAAAGTGTCAAAGTGAGCTTTTCCAGAACAGTGTTTTTTTTATTTGATCAGAAAGGAATTTTTTTAACAAAATTAAGCTTCTAAATTGACTGCAGGAACTGTCTCCCTCTGAGGAGCAAATTTTAGAAAGTGTATATTTTGGTATTTGATGCGGGAGGGAGAGGAAGAATGAAAAAATTGTATTTGAGCCTCTTGGAAACCTTGTGAAACTATCATTATTGTAATTAAACCTTAATTTTCTTTTAGAACCATGTTTAATCTTACCTCTAATCTATGTTGTGATCTTTATATCTGAGTTTTAGAAAGTTATATGGATACAGAGGGACATTTCTGAATGTTGGTTTCTAAAATGTTCATCTGTTCCTGCTACTCATCACTTGAAGTAAAAAAAAAAATAAACAAAAAAACTAATTGCAGTAATTGGTTGTGATGTTATAAATCACTTTTTGTTTCTGAATAAGCAGAAGGAGTAGGTAAACTCTTTGCAAACTTATTCTTCCAAATATCAGTAGTAATCAATTTCTCAACCCTTTCTTCTCCTGTGAAGCTTTCCTCCTCTTCTTCTGCCTGGTTTCTAGTACCTTCATGCTATTCCCCCTCCCTCCATCTGCACCCTCATATTAAAATGTAAAGAATTTAAAAAGCAGAATTAATAAGGTGTATGCCAGTTGCTCTGATCACTTCCCTTATATGTACATCCTTTTCTCCATCCCTTTATCTTGTCTTTTAGGCCTCGAACTAGCAACCACTTACACGAATGCTTGCTTTTATGCATATGAGTAGTTCCATTACAATCAGATCAAGTATCATAGAATCATAGAATATCAGGGTTGGAAGGGACCTCAGGAGGTCATCTAGTCCAACCCCCTACTCAAAGCAGGACCAGTCCCCAACTAAATCATCCCAGCTAGGGATTTGTCAAACCTGACCTTAAAACCTCAAAAGAAGGAGATTCCACCACCTCCCTAGGTAACGCATTCCAGTGCTTCACCACCCTCCTAGTGAAAAAGTTTTTCCTAATATCCAACCTAAACCTCCCCCACTGCAACTTGAGACCATTACTCCTCATTCTGTCACCTGCTACCACTGAGAACAGTCTAGATCCATCCTCTTTGGAATCCCCTTTCAGGCAGTTGAAAGCAGCTATCAGGTCCCTCCTCATTCTTCTCTTCTGCAGGCTAAACAATCCCAGCTCCCTCAGTCTCTCATAAGTGATGTGTTCCATTCCCCTAATCATTTTTGTTGCCCTCCGCTGGACGCTTTCTAATTTTTCCACATCCTTCTTGTAGTGTGGGGCCCGAAACTGGACACAGTACTCCGGATGAGGCCTCACCAATGTCGAATAGAGGGGAATGATCACGTCCCTCGATCTGCTGGCAATGCCCCTACTTTTACAGCACAAAATGCCATTGGCCTTCTTGGCAACAAGGGCAAACTGTTGACTCTTATCCGGCTTCTCGTCCACTGTAACCCCTAGGACCTTTTCTGCAGAACTGCTGCCTAACCATTCAGTCCCTATTTTGTAGCAGTGCATGGGATTCTTCCATCCTAAGTGCAGGACTCTGCACTTGTCCTTGTTGAACCTCATCAGATTTTTTTTGACCCAATCCTCTAATTTGTCTAGGTCCCCCTGTATCCTATCCCTACCCTCCAGTGTATCTACCTCTCCTCCCAGTTTAGTGTCCTCTGCAAACTCGCTGACAGTCCATGCCATCCTCCAGAACATTAATGAAGATATTGAACAAAACCGGCCCCAGGACCAACCCTTGAGGCACTCCGCTTGGTACTGGCTGCCAACTAGACATGGAGCCATTGATCACTACCCATTGAGCCCGACGATCTAGCCAGCTTTCTATCCACCAACTCCTTTAGCACTCTCAGATGCAGCACATCCGGCCCCATGGACTTGTGCTCGACCAGCTTTTCTAAATAGTCCCGAACCTCTTTTTTCTCCATGTATCTGTGTAAACATTTGTGAAATCAGGACTTAAGGGGGGGCAAACCCATTAGGGAGGTGATTGTTCCTATATGATTGGAAAGAGCTGAGCATTCTTTGGGAATTTGTGGTCTCAATAGTTTTAATATGCAGAAAATGCAGCAATATATAAACAGAATTGTATCTAAAGGAATGTCTTTCTCCAACTTTCCATGCACAATTGGCAGCTCTTTCAAACCTTTGAGAAAAGGCAAACTAAGACATACTCCCCTTTCCCCCTGAACAATGTATTGAGTTGTCTGTCTTAATACACAAAATGTGGATATGTATAAAAATTACATCATTCTAAAACAGAGGCAATGACTTTTCACTTTTTAAATAAATTAGTTGGTAATTTAACTTTAACAATCTTCAACAATCTAGACTCAGGATATGTGATGGTATTTCAGTAATGGAAAACTGTACCCCACAATTTTTTTTTAAATAATACTTTGATTTTGTTGGTAAAGAAGATCAGATTATATCCTATTAAGATTGAACTGTGTCACTGCCATTTCATTTTCTGGTGTAACCTAGTTACTGATTCTCTGTATTATGTCAGTTTCTGCCTGAAGGGAGAGGGATTGGATGGCAACTTTCCAGCTGTAATAGATTACACACCCTATCTGAAGTTCACCCAAAGGTACTTTTTCATCCTGAAAACCTTTTCTTATTTTTCAGCTTCACTTGGTAGTTGGATATTTTGCCTTTTACTTATCTTTTTGAAGTTTATTTGGCTTCCAATATGTTGTGACATTCTGTACTTGGTGATCAGCATGGGATGATGAGCTTTTTATTGCTGTAATACTGTGTGACTTATGAGCTGTGAGCAGTCATGCTGAAATTTTCGTCTATACTCAGGTGTTTAATACTTGTGCTAAATTTAAAGAGAAATTACTTTTATCACTGAAGCTTAGACTTTAATTAGAGCCAATATCAGACGGTAGAGCAGCTGTAATCAATGCTTTTTTTCTGTAGGAAGACATGCCAATTACATTTTTCCTTCCTGTGTGTACCTTTTTTCTTCATAGTCTGTGTTTTTAATGGCACTGTTCATATAAAGGTGATTAAAAATCACATCTGCACCTATATCTTGTTGACTTCGGTTGCATTTTGTAAAGTCTGTCTATATGTGGTATTAGTTATTTAGCCCTTCAGGAATATCCTGTGGTTACTTGTATGGTACCTGGGTTTCTTCAACCAATTTTTAACTATATGGTTTAGCATAATGGTCCTTTTTGACAAAGATCATTGAGTTAATACCTGTATCTGACTGAGAACAGTGAGGCCATCAGTAGCCCCACTCAGCACCTCAAAAGAGCATGGAAATACTGCTATAGATTTTGTTGCTAGACTTAACTGTTTTGAAAAATGGGCGGGAATTAAGATGTCCTCCCATGAAATATTTGATGTACTGTCTCTAAGACACATGGCTGAAAAATGAAATTTCTAATTGTTCTCTAGAGATGAAGATCTCATTAAAGATTTTTTTTAATTGCCTAATTGCAAAGTTCAATTTAAGTTAAACGACACAACTATTTTTGACCCAAATCAGTAATAGAATGTGCACACTTGAGAAATACTCACACAAATCTTAAAGAAAACCCTATGTCTGTTCAGGGTCACCACTGTACTGATATAGTCTAATAAGCTTTAATGGGCACCCATGTTTGTCAGAGCAGGGCCGATTCCCTGACTTGTCTTAAAATCAAAACAAATTACACCCGATAGGTACTAGGGCAGTGATTCAAACACTTTTATGTTGATCCTTGATAATGAGGCCTAAAAGATCCATAGGTAATGAGTGTTTATAATAGCATGCCTTCAAGAAATATACCAAAAGTGAACTGTTTTAAATTGCATATATGAAGAGAATCATGTAAATACTATGATTTATAGTATTTACAATGCTAAATACTTCTAGAAGAAACCTGAAAAATAAGTGAATTATGGAGAACTCTTACCACTGAAAACTAGCTAAAAGTTCTTGATGATACAGGAGAAAACTTAGTGATAAAGAAAAAGGTAAAGGGATAAGCTAAAATTCTTACCTTTCTGAGTTAATGGCCGCCTCCCCAATTTAGCATAGCAAGATCTTCCTTTTTGTGCTGTCCTACACAGCTGATGACTTTGCAGACACTTTTGGTGGTTGTGAAATAACTTTGTGTTTGCTGAGCATTTAATGACTATCTTGTAAATGCTATTTGTAATGTTTAACCTATAGCTTTCTATTACTGATTGATCAATTTATTTATTTATTAAAGAAGGCTTTGCATTTCATGTTTTAAGAGTAGTAGTGCTTCAGTTTCAAGGCAGGTTTTGTATCAGTTAACTGTTTTCATTTGGTTTATAAATTTGGTCCTTCAGTTCTGATAGCATCAGCAGTGATGAAGAAGAGCTAAGGACTCTGGGAAGTAGCGGCAGTGAAAGCAGTACTCCAGAAAATATTGGACCTCCTTTCATCATGGATGAAAACAGTTGGTACAACAAATGCAAAAGGGTAGAACAGAAGTATCAACTCACCTTGGAGCAGAAGGTAAAAAAAATCAGTTTGTGGAGGGATGAGGGTGACGGAACTAATGTGTATTTTTATGTCAAATATTATTGTCACTGACAAGACATAGGATCCTGTAAACAGGTTTTTTTTCTATTCATATATTTTTGTGAAAACATAACAAATATAGCTATTATTGTGGATAAGGTTAAATATCCTTGAAGTTGGTGGGTTAGATTGCCACACTTTATTTAAGATGGCTGTAAGATACAGTTATACTCCTTTTTATAGTAGCTCCCAACCTAAAACAAGCATATGTGAGTCCACCCAGGAATTTGAACTTATGTAAGTGGAGGGTTTGGGTGGGGAGTGTGGAGAGAGAAGCAGAACCACACAGGAACAGGTATAGAAGACACATGCAGTCTGGACAAGCTGGTTAAAAGAGGCTTGGGGCTGTAAGCAACGAAATTATCTCTTGAGTCTTGGCTCCTCTGTGTTCAAGGAAAACAGGGCTTTGTATATTCCTTGTAAATAAACAAGATTGCATCAAAGGTACCTATTGAAGCACTGGGGATGGGCAGGTGTGGGCCTACCCATTACTAAAGGCCTCCCCCCTCAGCTTAAGGGGAAGAGCTATTGGACCCAGGCATCAATTAATTTTGGGGGATGACAAATGAAAAAATAGGGATGGAAGTGAAGGTCACAAGGATAAAATCAGGGATCCAGAAGGGACCACTGAGCAGAGAACCCCGGACAGCACCCACTTGTCGTTGAAGGTGCCAGGGAAGCAGTGGACACAGCTCAGAGGAACTCTGCCTGGAGATGTGACTTCAGGAGGGTTTGGAAATAGGCCTTTCAGTTGCAGAGCGCTTCCCTGTCCAACTTCCTCCTCCTGGTATCAGAGGTTCCTGATTTCATCACCAGTTTCTCCTTCTAACTGGAGCAACCTGCAAGATCCTGAATTTTTCGCTAGCTGCTCAAGCCAAACAGGGTAACACTACTTTGTGTTCTTTGGCTTCCATATATTTAAGTACTGATGTGTGCCCTGTCACAATTGAATCTAATAGTTTACATCAAGGTCTCTTAATATCTAGACAGAATAAATAATAATACTTAGCACTTATATAGCCCCTTTTAATTAGAGGATTTCATATTACTTTAAAATAGTCCCTATGAGACCCCAGTGTGGTACAATAAGTAGGAATTTACTATATGCACTTTATTGGTGGATAAACTGAGGCACTGTTAACTCAATTGTCCAAGGTATCACAGTGAATTGATGGCAGATCTGAAAATCTAATGCAGAATTCCTGGTTCCCAGTTTCCATCTCTAGCTAGTAGACTGCATATAAGCTATTGGTTATAACTGGTATAGCTGCATGTCTTGGGACTGGCCTAGCTATCTGAGAGTTGCTGGTTTCACAATCCTTTGTCCTCTTCATCAGATGGCTACATTCTACCAGAACAATTAAAGTGTTGACTAGTCGGGGAGGTTTGTGAGTGTTGGAGATAGTCTAGGACCAGCTTTTGTGAAAGTTCTATGGAACTTACTTCTGCAAGAAATAAGAATGACTATCAAACAAATCACTTAGAGAGAGAAATTTAAAACTCTTTGACTTCACTTTGCCTCAGATGCACAACACACACACTCTCTCACAAACATAAACAACAAAAAAATATATAAACTAATCAAGCTATTTCTCCTTCAAACTAGAGAGGGTTAGAGTGTGGAAGGGAAGCGGGGGCAAAATATTTGGAGTTACTCGAATACTATGAAGGCCATAAAAGTACCAGAATTAGGTAGCTTTTCAAAAACAAGACTTAATGCCAAAGGTTTGAAGCATATTCAGGTGGTTTGCTAGTATAGTGTATGTCCAACCCATTTTACAGCATAATATTTCAGCACTATTTCTGACACAGAATGCTACCCTCAAGAACTGGGAAGTAACACACTGGAAAAAAGAAATGAGACAAAAAGTGTGTGAGGGGGGGTGAGCGTAAGTGTTCTTGCCCTTAAAAAAAAAAAGGAGAGGGTGTTTGACGTAACAAAACCCAGAAAAGAGAGGAGAGTGAAATAGTGAGACAGACAGATGGAAATAAAATTAAAGCTGATGGGAGAAACAAAGAAAAATTAAGAAGGAGTGAAGGAATGCATAAAGGGAGTGTAACAGGGTTCGCTTACCACTCTGATGCCTCCTCAGCCTGTCTTGGGAATTAACTCTGCAATTGAGTGCGCCTCCTTTGGGTAGTGCATTGCCACTGTGACTCCCGCTCTTGGCTCACGTCTCTCCAAGGACCGTGGCGCCCTCTTCAGTGACACAGCCCTCCAGCCATGCCACACACTGTGCTCCCCCTTTCCAGGGGACCCGCAGTCTGCTGTTCAGCCATGTCCTGCCAGTGGCAAACTGCAGTCCACAGTCTAGCCACCTCCCATGTGGCTCCGGCACCCTCTTTACCCTTGTATCAGGGCCTCAGTCTGCAACCCCCGGCAGCCAGCCAGGAGCTGTCTGGCTTCCTTGGCCCCTGTTTGCAGCACTGCTGTGTCCAGGGTGCTGGCAGTTCTCTTGGCCCTTCAGGGACACAGTCCTTCCTCCCTGAGCTCCCAGCAGAGTACTGCCTTGCAGCTCATTTTTTATATGGGCCTACTTGGACCTGATTGGCTACTCCTCCCAGCCCTCCTCTGATTGTCTGCCTTTGGCGCAGCCTTACTAGGGCTGCTTTTAACCCCTTTTTGCCAGTGAGGGGCAGCTGCCCCATTACAGGGAGACCTACTATGTTATAAAAAATTCTGCTTAATGGCTTCGTTTAATAGAAGATTTAATGCAAAAATTGTAAATAAAACCCTAGAAAAGTAAAGTATGGGAAATAATAAAATTTATAGAGGTGCGTGGTGTGCAGATAGTCTGGGGAAGGAAAACCATAGGGCTATACCTGCTCCACTAAGCACTCCCTTAGTGGAAGGAGAGGGATAAAGGTGGATGTTCATATTGCAAATGATAGAGTCCCAGCCTAGCAGCTGGGACTCAACATTCTACTCCAGTGCAGTCTCTTGCCCCTGCTTTCAAAAGGAAGTAGAATCATGGGTTGAAACAGGGCAAGCTATATAGAATAAAAAGATGAAGTGAAATTGTTTGGCTATGTCTTCGCTATTTCCCACCATTGCTAACACCAGTCCAACTCTACCACTCCTAGCAATACCACCACCATTAGGATAGCTAGAGCTCCTGTAAGCTCCACAATGTTTAACACCATGATACCTAGCACTGATCAGAGCAGTTCTAAGGATGCATCTACACTGCAGCTCGGAGGTATAATTTCCAGCTCTACACGTTCTAGTTCTGATTGAGTTAGCACGCTAAGAATAGCATTGTGACTGTGGCACGAATGGCAACTCTGGCTAGCTGCCTGGGTGTACTCTTGTCCAAGGTCTGAGATCCTAGGTCTGTACTTGGGTGGCTAGCCTGTGCCGCTGTGGCAATGCTGCTATTTTTAGCAAGTTAGCTTGATCAGAACTAGCGCATATATGTCTACCCAAGTGGGAATTACACATCCCAGCTGCAGTGTAGACGTACCCTAAAGTATCACATAGCCTGGCATGAGGAATATGTCTACACTTTGAGCTGGAGGTGTAATTTTCAGCTTGAGGAGACATACCTGCACTAGATCTGATTGAGTGAGTGTGCCAAAAACAGAGTGCAGCAGTGGTGAGAAGGACTAGCTGCCCCAAGTGTGTGCCTAGCATCTTGAATGTGTATGTACTCGGGGAGGGGGTGGAGTTGGGGCAGGTACTTTGGGGAAGGGGTTGGAATGGGGGGGCAGGGGTGATGCCTCATGGAAGGGGTGGAGTGGGGGCGGGATGGGGATGGGGGCAGAAGGGGGTCGAGCACCCACGGGAAAGAGGGGAAGTCAGCGCCTATGACACTAGCTCAATCTTAGCTAGCACAGGTACATCTCCTCGAGCTGGAATTTACAGATATACCCTAACACAGTACTTTCGTTTATACTAGTGGCTCATCTTTACTACAACTGTTAGTTACAATAGTGGGGAATTATTTTTTTTGACCAAAAAAATTGCTCTCCCAGCAACATAGAAGTGCCAGTGTGGACAGTACTTGCAGTGCAACTTATGTTGCTCAGCATTGGGGGGGGGGTTTTCCACGCCCCTGAGTGACATAAGTTATACCAACAAAAGTAGTAGTGTAGACATAGCCAATGAGTATCAGGGTTGTCTTCAGAGGAGCTGGAAGTATAATTTCCAGCTTAGGTAGACGTACCTTTGTTAACTCCAATGGAGGTAGTGCACTAAAAATAGAAGTGTGGCTGTGGCAGCGTGAGTTGAAGGATGGGCTCGCTACCCTGAGTATAATCCTGTCTGAAACCCTAAGTATGTATTCGAGGTTGCTACATGTCTATTTTTAGTGAGCTAACTCAATCAGAGCCAGTGAAGGTGTGTCTGTTTGTTTGATCTGGAAATTACACCGCCAGCTCCACTGTGGACATACCCTCATAGAGAAACTAGGCACAGTGTGCATTCATTCTCTCTGCTTTTTGACTTTTTTTCTTTTGTAAAATTGTGTGGTGGTGGCGTTCCAAAATGTTTGGCATACCAATTTCTAACTGTAACATTATTTTTACATCTTTAGATCTTTCAGGTTTTTAGCTATTCATCTACATTATATCAAAACTATTGTTTGCTTTTTTAACATAAATATAGAATTATTAGTCTCTCAGTGTTGCTGGGTAGTCTGTTCTGTTTGCTGTCTCAGATTACCTTGGCTACCGTATTTCTTCTTAAATTTTGATAACCAGAACTAGACACCACACTTTTAAATCATGTCTACGGCGTCCGTATCTCCTTTGTTTTGTAATTAATTCCTCTGTTTATACATCCAGTTATGTTTGCATGTAAGCTGCAAAAAAAAAAAAAAAAAAAAAAGCACAGCACTCCTGCTTTTCTTACATGCTGTTCTTCAGGTATTTCCTTGCTAGCTTCCTCAGTTCTATTTAATTGAGAAAGTAAACATTATTGTCTACACTTGGAA